TCGTTTAATTGTTTTTCTTGAAAAACCTCGTGCTTGAGGGTTTAATGCCTGTTGACAATAATCAATAAATCCAAGTTTTTCAGAAAACATGTATGGCAAATTTTCTTCACAAATCATTTCGGCCATTTTTTGCTTATTTTGCTCGTCGCTATAAGCAAAAAGGCCGCCCTTACCTCTGTTAGCAAACCGAGAAATTTGGATTTGCACTTCTTGTCGTCCCTTCTTTTTTGCCTCGTATTTGGCAAACTCCACGGGACGCCTCGACTTTAGGTGTTTTTCCGGACCGCCATAACCGCCGGAGACTCCCATTTTTATGACGGTCTTACAATGTTTACAAGTTCCATAAACTACGCCATCTTTTGTTTCTTTGTCAAAATGATAAACAAATAACTCTGATTTATATTTTTTTACCTTTATCCGGACCTCGAGAGGTCGCGGGCTCACCTGCCTCCACGCCGACGTCGTTGCTCTGCGGTGTAGGCTCCTCGTCCCCGTCCAGATTATCCAGATGTGCTTCATCAACATCTTCGAATACACTATCAAGAGTGTAGAGATTTCCGTCCCCTCTACCAGAATAAATCTGGTCGAATTCTTCATCCGTCATAGCATCCCCGATTAAGTGATCGGGGATAGCAGGAAAGGAAGAGACGGAGTGTCTTCCTCGAGAAACGCGTGAGGTCGAACCGTCGGAGGTGGCTTTTGCTTTGCCTCTACTCGAACTTCGGTTCACGGCGCCCATATCCACGGACCTTCTACCGGACTCTCTCGACATTTTAATATATAAATATATATTTTGATATAAAAAAATAATATATTAAATTTCGAAACTTTAAAAAAATTCGAAATTTTATATATAAAAATTTCGAAAATTTCAAAAAAAAAAAAGAGAATATATTTAAAATATATATTATATATTTTTTGATATTAAAGAAATATTAAATTTCGAAAATTTCAAATAATTTCGAAATTTTTTATATTAAAATATAATATATTTAAAAAAATGTATAAAAGAGATAATAAGATATTAAGATTGAGAAATTAAAATGATAGATTGAGATATTGAAATTTGAGAGAATGAGAGAA